GTGTATGTGTGTATGCACATGTATATATGCCTCTGTGTGTGTGTGTGTGTGTGTGTGCATGTACATGTATATGTATCTGTATTTGTGTCTGTGTGTACATATACATATTGTATATCTTTTATATATTCAACATTTATGTTACAATATTTTATATATATATATACATATATGTGTGTGGGTGTGTGTGTGTATATGTATTTGTATTTGTATTTGTATATGTGTATATGTAAATATATATATATGTTTGTGTGTGTGTGTGTGTGTGTGTATATATGTATGTATAAATTTTATATATCCCTGTGTTCTAGGCACACCAAGATTTTTTTCAATACAGAAGATACACACGCTCGCCACAATCGGTGCCCTTGATGACAGCTTGTGCAGTTGTGTATGGCTATGCATAAAGGTATGTTTGGCGTCACAAATGCCCTTACAACACTTAAACCACCCACGCTCAAGTTAACTGCATAGCTTAGCAGGCGGTACCCTGGGGCCTATGCTCAACAGAGACGGATGTGACATGTGGACCGTGTTGCTTACCGTACAGATAATGCGCATACTCACTACCATTTCATTTCCATGTCATTTCGTATCGTGTCGTGTCGTGTCGTGTCGTGTCGTGTCATACACATGATGGTAGGTAACGCAATTGTGTATAGCGATGCAAAGGCGGATGTTGGACATCACACAGAAAGATTTGGCGGTGCTGGCACCCGCAGGCATCTTAGAACACCAGGCACTCGACTTAGGAGAAGACGACCAAGACAGCACCAATAGACAGCCTGTGGACAGAAGGTGGGTTATACAGCTCTGTCTATGTGTATATTATATATATATGTGTGTGTGTGTGTGTTTATATATCTGTCTGTCTGTCTGTATGTCTGTATGTCTGTCCGTGACTGTGTCTGTTTCTGTCTATGTCTGTTTCTTTCTGTGTCTGTGGCAGTGGCAGTGTATGTGTGTGTGTGTGTATGTCTGTGTCTGTGTCTGTGTCTGTTTTCTTCTGTTTTGTTGAAATAAGAGAGACTATCGTAGGACACTCTTAGACTTGGGTGAGGTTATGGGGATCAGGGCAACATATTGCGAGTTGGGTTAGGTTGTGTATCTATGTGCATGGTGAAGGCAAGTAAGCCATGGCATGGGCTGTTGACCGAAGGTGTACCGAACTTCCTTTTGATCTGCGCCTGTGTCCGTGTCTTTGACTTCTCAGGTGTTTAGTTAATGTCTCTGACTATACTCTAGGCATCTGTATCGGAGGCTGTGTGTCTGTATCCGTTATTTGTGTGTGTGTTGTTTGGTGTGAGTCTATGTATGTGCTATGTGTCTCTCACGTCTCTCTTGAGTGTTTGCGTTGAACGTATTCGTTTCAACCGTTGTGTAGTCTGATGGGACATTTTAAATGCCTTACGAATCCACGACACTCACAGTATTGAACCTTTGACGGTGTTGTATGTGCCTTGGTCTATGGTGTGTGACCTAGGGACTGTCTTGTAAGTGAGTGCAATAGACTGGTCTCTCTACTGAATGATGTGAGGCTGATAGTGTAGCATACTCTGTGGTCCACCTGCCTAGTCCTAGTCATCTATTGATAGACTACTTTCTTGTAGTACGCTTCCTGTATCCATCAACCACTTCTTATTCATCTGTTGTTTACGTAATCTATTGATAGGCTACTTTCCTGTAGTACTCGTTCTCTATCCATCAACCACTTCTTATTCATCTGTAGTGTATGTTATCTATTATTAAACTACTTTCCTGTAGTACGCTTTCTGTATCCATCAACCACTTCTTATTCATCTGTGGTGTATGTTATCTATTGATAGGCTACTTTCCTGTAGGACTCGTTCTCTATCCATCAACCACTTCTTATTCATCTGTGATGTATGTTATCTATTTTTAAATTACTTTCCTGTAGTACGCTTTCTGTATCCATCAACCACTTCTTATTCATCTGTGGTGTATATTATCTATTGATAGGCTATTTTCCTGTAGTACTCGTTCTCTATCCATCAGCCACTTCTTATTCATCTGTGGTGTATATTATCGATTGATAGGCTACTTTCCTGTAGTACTCGCTCTCTATCCATCAACCACTTCCTATTCATCTGTGGTGTATGTCATCTATTATTAAACTACTTCCCTGTAGTACGCTTTCTGTATCCATCAACCACTTCTTATTCATCTGTGGTGTATGTTATCTATTGATCGACTACTTTCCTGTAGTACGCTTTCTGTAACCATCGACCACTTCTTGTTCATCTGTGGTGTGTGTTCTCACGTGTAGCTGGTTGCCTTGTGCAGATATTCACTGACAACACTGGAACAGCCCGTGACAGCCACAGCCACAGCCACAGCCACAGTAGCTGCAAAGGCCAGCAGAAACAAAAGCGCCAGTGACATGCTAACCAACAGGTGAGGAACCCTGCTAGCTGTGTGGGAGATGAATGATTGGTCATTGGTTTGCGAGTGTGTCCCTGTCTGTGTCTGTGTCTGTGCCCCTGTTTGTCTTTTTGTCTGTGTCTCTGTCTCTGTCTCTGTCTGTGTCTATGTCTGTGTCTGTGCCCCTGTTTGTCTTTGTGTCTGTATCTGTATCTATGTCTGTGTCTGTGTCCCTGTTTGTGTATGTGTCTGTGTATGTGTCTCTGTCTCTGTCTCTGTCTCTGTCTGTGTCTGTGTCCCTGATTGTCTTTGTGTCTGTGTCTGTATCTGTGTCTATGTCTGTGTCCCTGTTTGTGTATGTGTCTGTGTCTGTGTCTGTGTCTGTGTCTGTGTCTGTGTCCCTGTTTGTGTATGTGTATGTGTCTGCGTCTGTGTCTGTGTCTGTGTCCCTGTTTGTCCTTGTGTCTGTGTTTGTCTTTGTGTCTGTCCTATGCGTCTGTGTCTGTGTCTGTGTCTGTGTTTGTGTCTATGTCTGTGTCTGTGTTCCTGTTTGCGTATGTGTCTGCGTCTGTGTCTATGTCTGTGTATGTGTCCCTGTTTGTGTATGTGTCTGTGTCTGCGTCCCTGTTTGTGTTATGTGCCCCTGTTCGTGTCCGTGTCCGTGTCTGTGTTTGGGTTGTGTCTGTGTTTGTGTCTGTCCTGTGCGTCTGTGTCTGTGTCTGTATCTGCGTCCCTGTTTGTGTTATGTGCCCCTGTTCGTGTCCGTGTCCGTGTCTGTGTTTGTGTTCGGGTTTGTGTTTGGGTTTGGGTTTGGGTTTGTGTCCCTGTATGCGTCTGTGTCTGTGTTGTGTCTGTCCTGTGCGTCTGTGTCTGTGTCTGTGTCTGTGTCTGTGTCCCTGTTTGTGTATGTGTCTGCGTCTGTGTCTGTGTTTGTGTTTGTGTCTGTGGCTGTGGCTGTGTCCCTTTGTGTCTGTGTCTGTGTCCCTTTTGTGTCTGTGTCTGTGTCTATTCTA